TCCAGAGTGCGTTCACAATGTTCCAGAGTGTGCTCTGGTGCTGAACTTAATCTCCAGGAGTCACCTCACCAGACTCTGGGCTCTGTGGGACCCCAGAACACCCTGATGGCCAGGACAGATGGCTGTGTGTCTTCCAGTGAGGCCAGTGCCCGCTCCATCAGAGCGTCTATGAGCATGCAGTTCCCCAGGACCCCTGTGGATTGGGGACATAAAAGGCCACGCCCTCCAGGGCTGCTTAAGATGGGGTTCTCCCCAGTCTTCCAGGGCGGGGATGGAAGTCTTCCACCGCCCTCCAGGGCTGCTTAAGATGGGGTTCTCCCCAGTCTTCCAGGGCGGGGATGGAAGTCGGGCTGGTCCTCACTCCATTCACACGTCTCAAGACTGCCCCCACGTGGCGAGGGTGAGGATTCTGCCACCCAGTGGGCTTTACCTGCAGGGCAGCCTCTGGGGGCCTGCGGGAGGATTCTCTCAGTGACATGGAGGGGCCACAGAGCAGCCCTTGCTGACACAGCCCCCTGTCAGCCGAAGAGAGCCAGGTGTGTGTGTGTGTGGGGATACCCGAGGCCAGCAGGAGGCGGGGCTGATGCCTCAGTATTGCAAGCACCCCCCCCCCCCCCCCCCGCCTCCAGGAGTGAGCCCCGACCATTGCCTGCAGGAGCCTCACGAGGCAGGAGACACTCCCTCGGCTTCTTCCAAGCCTGAAGCGGTTCCCCGAAGCACCTGTTCCCAGCGGCCCTGGCCCAGACCTGCAACTATCTTTGGCCCATTCTCCCATCCCCTCCACGCCTCAAGGGTCAGCCTCACACTATCGAGGAAGGGGAGGGGTGACTACCTACCACACTCACACACAGGCACAGTGACTACCTACCACACTCACACACAGGCACAGTTTCACACACGCTCACACACTCATACACTCTCACACACACACTTATACACAGGCACACACGCACTCACTCTCATGCACACACACCCAAACAGACACACATGCACACACACTCATACACAATTTCACACACACTCAACACTCATACATTGTCTCATGCACTCACTCTCACACACTCATACACAGACACTGTCACACACGCACTCACTTTCACACACTCATACAATCTCATACACGCACTCACTTTCATACACACACACTGTCTCACACATGCACTCGCTTCACACACTCATACACACACTGTCTCACACTGTACGTACTCATACACAGACCCTGTCTCATATACACCCCCCACACACACTCCATACACAGTCTCACACACGCAGTCACTCTCATACTCACACACTGTCACACACTTGCTCTCATACACAGACACTGTTTCACACACACACTCACATTCTCACACTCATTCACACTCACACAGACACTGTCTCGCTCACATACATGAACACACACATACAGTGTGTGCATGCACTCACACTTTCACACACACTCACACTTCCATGCACTCACAGTCTCACACACACATGCACTCATACAGTCTCACACATGTACTCACACTGACACACACTCACACACAGTCTCACATACACACTCACACTCTCACATACAGACACAGCCTCACATGCACTCACATATACAGCCTCACACACACACAGTCATATGGGGTCATCTACACTCACACACAGTCACACGACCACACACAGATGGTCACATACACATTCACATATCCACATGCATGCATACACTCAGTAACACATTCCAAGTCACACATGCACACAGTCACAACCATACACAATCACACACGCAAAGTCACACACTCAATCACACACAGGCATACACACAATGACAATCATTCACATAGTCACACACATGCACACAGTCACACATAGGCACACATTCAGACATGAATAGTCACATATGCACATGCACACTGTCACGTACTGTCACAATACAGTCACACTCACACATGCACACCTCATATGTATACACCCAGTCACAAACATACTCAGTCACACACATGTAGTCACACACACTCAGAGTCACACAGTCACACTCAGCATCACATACTCATACACACAGTTACCCACACACCACTCAGCACACGCAGAACCCTGGGGCAGGGAGGAAGATGTTTGAGAAAACTTGGGGGCATCATGACTGCAAGTATGGAAGTGGGGGTGGTTACCACCTTCCACACACTGCTCTGATGACCCCTAGCACCGCTTCCAAAGCCCCCCTGTCCACCTTTGTGCTGGGGTCCTGTTTGCCTGCACTCAGGAACTCCCTCCATCCCTTGGGGAAAATTCAGAGAAAAGACCACCTGACAGGGCAGGGGCCCACAGGGGACAAACGCTCACTCCATCCACCACAGCCAGGAAGGATCGAAGAGCACAAAGCCAGGAGTCAGCCTTGACAACAGCCGTGTGTGACCCAAACAAAACAAACCAAAAAGACCAAACCAAAACAGAACATGATTGAATTCCTTTCCACGTGCTGGCCAAGTGTCTTAGGTGGGACTTAGGGGTCCTGCAACACTACAGAAACTCATCCAAGCAGAAAGGGAAGGCAGTGTTCTCTTGTACTCAGCAGCCAGGGACCCGTCCACCCAGCCCCTCTGCCCCAAGGGAGGGCAGCCCACTTGCCAGCCGTCCTGCCTTCCTTCTCCCGTGCCGCTGTACCAGGCAGCGCAGCCCAGTAGTACCTGTGTGCAGGGCTTCTCTAGCTGGGAGGAAGCCACCTGCCCGCAGAGGCGGCCAAACACTGCTTGGACGATCTGGAGCCTCCATCAGTCACAGAACAGACAGTTCCTAAGAGGCCTCGGCAGCTCCACAGGAGACCGATGCTGGCTCAGAGGGCAACCCCAGGGCCTTTGCACAGCACCTCCCCCCTTCAGGCAGGTCTCTCCCTGGTACTCCTTGGACAGGCCTCAGGGCCACCCGCCTGCCCTGTCCCTTACCTCTGGGGCTCCCTCAGGACCTGGTGCTGTGGACAGAACGCGTTCCAGGTGCTTTTCGGTTTGCCAGCCTCCCCGCCCAAGCCTGATGGCCGGGTGACAGCTAGAGTGAGTTCCTGTCCGTCCTGTTCCGGCTGGCTCCCCTCCCTCCAGCACTGACTCACCGGGTGGGCTGTCGCCTCCCACACTGCACACTCCAGCCAGGCAAGGTGCGCTGCTCTGTGGGCAGCCCGGCCTAAGCTCCTGAAGTCCCTGGGCTCTAGGGAGAGAGAAGTGGGGTGCGGAGTGCCCCAGACAGCGGCAGAGGTGGGCACAGTCCGGGGCACCCCAACTGCCTCTGGTGGGAGATGTCAGCCCTCCTGGCTGTGCCTAGCACATCTGCAGGTCGGGAAGCCCGAGATGACCGGGTGAGCTCTAATCCCATCACTGAGAGACTGCTGAGGGCAGGGGACCCCCGGGCTGACCCTGGGGTTCTGGTCTCACAGGAGAGAGGCGACAGCACTTACAGGCACTGGTGCTGGAGTGCATCGTGGGCAGAAACTGGGGGTGGGGGCAGGTGGCAAGGGCATCCCCACAAGGCCACGCGCCTATCCATGATGAATTGGGGTCTCTCGGGACACTTTGTTTATGAAACCCAAAGGTGGGCTGGGGGCTCTGCTCGGCCTTGATGCTGTGACATGTGTCACGGGAGTGGGGGTGGGGAAGGCGGGAATGTACGCAGGTCTCTGAGGAACGGAAGTCAGGCCAGTTGCAGAGGGTTCCAAGGGCAGCGACTGGCAGCGGGGCACTGACCTGCTGGCTGGCTTTGGGGAGTCCAGCAAGGGGCAGAAAGGGGCAGGGCTGCATCCTGCCAACCAGAGCATGGAGGGTCCCTGACACCCACTTGCTCCCTCAGACCCTCTGAGTGTTTCCCAGCAGCTCTCTGGCAGCTGCCCAGTTGGATCTATTTCTATTTATTTGGTTTTGCAGCCACACCTGGTGATGCTCAGAGCTCAGCACTCAGGGATCACTCCTGGCAGTGCTCCAGAGACCATATGGGTGTTGGGGATGGAACCCAGGTTGGTCACCTGCAAGGCCAGCGCCCTCCCTGTTGTGCTAGGGCCCTTGGTCCTAGACCCCTATTTCTGTTTCTCTTAGTTTGTGTTACACCCTGCTGTGCTCATGAGATTGTTGGGGGTTGCTCCTGGCAAGGCTCCAGGGATCATGTGCCTTCAGGGATCATGTGCGGGGGCGGGGGGGGGGAATCATGTGCGGGGATAGCAGGAACTGTGACCGTTTTTTGGTTGTTTTGGGGCCACACCAGAGGTGCTCAGGGTTTACTCCTGGCGGGGCTCAAGGGGCCAAATGTGGTGTGGTGGCACTTGGGGACAAGGAAAGAGGCAAGTGGACGGCTCATCTCGGGAGGGCCGCGACGGTTCCACAGCGGCCCGGGAAAAGCCACGCTCCTCCTACAGCAAAGGGCCGCGCCGAGGCGGGCCACAGCAACGTCACGGGGTGCGGAGGGTTCCCGCGGGGGGGGCGGCGGGAGGAGATGCGCGCCCAGGGGAGCACGGCGGACCCTCTCCCCGCCCGCGCCGTCCCCGCACTGCTGACAGGCACCCGCCACAGGGGGCTTGGGGCTGGTCTGCAGCGGGACGACCCCGGCCCGGCGCGAGGACCTGCTGCTTCGGTCACTGCCCAGAGGGAGCCCTGGCCTCGGTGGGCGCCTGCCCTTGGACCGCACGTCCGAACCGAGCCCTGGGGGTCAGGCGGCCAGCGAAGGGGCGCGGAGCTGTCACACGAGGCCACCTGGCCAAAACCAACCGCTCGCAACCAGGACGTTCCTCTGGCCTTCTACAAGCCGCGCGTCCAGTGCAACGCCTCCCCTCCGCTAGGTCCCAGCCCAACATCAAGAGCGAAACGCGGAAGAGGAGCCGTAGGACGAGGCTCACGGGGCTTCCGGCCGGACGCGCTCTTTATAGAGGACGGCGGGACCCCGCCCCCCCACTCCGGCCCCGCGAGGTTTCTCTTCGCGCGAAGTGGCGTGGCCACGCCCCCTTCCCCGAGCCGCTCCGCAGGGGCGCGTGACGTCATTTCCGGGCGCCGGCGGCGGCGCGGGGCTCGACTTCCGCTCTGTGCTCGGGCGTGCGCGCGCTCGCCAATTCGCATCATGGCGGCCACGGCTACGATGGCGACGTCGGGCTCGGCGCGGAAGCGGCTGCTCAAGGAGGAGGACATGACCAAAGTGGAGTTCGAGACGAGCGAGGAAGTGGACGTGACCCCCACGTTCGACACCATGGGCCTGCGGGAGGACCTGCTGCGCGGCATCTACGCCTACGGTGCGCGGCGGGCCCCGCGTGAACCGGCACGCCCGCCCGGGCCGGACTCGGCCCGCCCGGGCCGGACTCGGCCCGGGTCGGCTCTGGTGGTCCCGGAGGATGCCCTCGGGCCACCCGGCAGCAGGGCCGGAGCCGCTCCACAGCCCGACTGTTTGCTTTGAGCACCCCCCCGCCCCCGCCCCCCCGGTAGTCCAGGGTTCGGGCCCGGCCCGGAGGTGCGGGGTCGGGGGTCCCGGGGCCTGCGCTCTCACGTCAGCTCTGTGACGTCCTGATCCCGTGACGTCAGCGCGGCTTCTCCCCCTTCCTTCGCAGGCTTCGAGAAACCGTCTGCCATCCAGCAGCGAGCCATCAAGCAGATCATCAAAGGCAGAGACGTCATCGCGCAGTGAGTGGCCTCTCGCCCCTGCCTGCCCGGAGGCTTTTTTTTTTTTTATCTTGCAGGACCCCCTTTTGGGGTTTGTGTCTCGTGCTCTCGGCCCACCAGGATGGGTCCCTGGGGAGAGGGTTCGCGCCATGCCAGGGACCCTTTCTTGCTGGGGTCCTGCATTCTGCCGCAGACCCCCAGCAGCAGCCGCAGTTATCACCGGTCTAAGACTGACCCCCGGGCCAGTCCACACCCGGTGGGGGGGGGGCGGGGCGCCACGATGTGCTTTCGGTGGTCCTTTGCTCTGAGCCCGCTTCTGTTTCCTATGCAGGTCTCAGTCTGGCACTGGCAAGACGGCCACCTTCAGTGTCTCGGTGCTTCAGTGCCTGGACATTCAGGTAAGTGTGCTCTCCTCTGTAGCTGCTGTTGAGAAGGGACACTTTGTTTCTCCTCCGGCTCAGGGGATGCTGTTATGTTAGTGTTCAAGCTTATTGTATGGCATACCAAGTGACTCTGTGTGTGTGTGTGTGTGTGTGTGTGTGTGTGTGTGTGAGAGAGAGAGAGAGAGAGAGAGAGTGTGGTCGTTCCCCCCCCCCCCCAAAAAAAGTTCCCTGTGGTCTTCATGTCCCTTCTTCCCCCACTGTGTGTTGGTCAGTCTGTGATAGAGGCCACGGATGTGTGGCGGTTGGGTCCTGCTCTGTTTCTGGGTGAGCGGCCCCCTCCGGTCCCAGTCCTGCTCCCGACCTACCCCACCACACCTTGCCTCGGGTTCACCCCGCTGCAGGGAGCAGTGTGCTCTCATCCTGTAGCTGCAGAGTGTTGTGCAGATGTGCAGATGCATCACCGCTTCTTGGTCCGTCCTCTGTCGCCGTGGCCAGCCCTCTGACTGGTGTACCGAGTGCTCGGTCAGCGCAGGTGTTCATGTGTCCTTTCAGATTGATGTTTCTCTTTGGAGCCTAGGCACCAAGAAGTGCGATTTCTGGGTTGCGAAAAGTTTGTTCTCTTTAAATCATTCCAATACACTGACTAAACTTATTTATTATAAAGCTAAAGACTTTTGGGGCCAGGACACTAATACAGCGGGGAGAGCCGTTTGCTTTTCATGTCACCGACCCGGGTTCGATCCCCAGCATCCCATATGATCCCCTGATTTCCACCAGGATTGATTCCTGAGTGCAGAGCCAGGGGCAGCCTCTGAGCACTGTCAGGTGTGACCCCAAAACCAGGAGATACAGACTTTTCTCCTCTGGTCTCTGGGCTGTGTCCAGTGGTTCCCAGGCCTTCTCCTGGCTCCCTTCTCAGGGATCACTCCCGGTGGGCTCCGGGAGTCATTTTGTGGTGCCAGGGATCAAACTCTGGGCAGCTATGTGCAAGACAAATGCCTTGCCTGGCATACTATTTCTCTAGCTCTCTTTTGTGCCTTTTTTCTTTTTTAACTTTGGTTCTAGCTCACTGTGGAGTCATTCAGGACCTTGTCAGAGGGTTTACTGGGCTGCTGTTAGTGGCGCCTTCTGTGGCACTGTTGTGCCCACTTAGCTGTCAGCTTCTCTGCCACCTTTCCATCCAGTTTGGTGCCCTCTTGCCGGGTCTCTCTGTTGGGGGCTGTACTCAGCAGCATTCAGGGAATGTTCTTGGCTCTGTGCTTGAGGGGGATTTTTAGTGCTGGGGGTGTGAATCAGATTCTGGAGTGCAGAGTAAGCACTTTAAATCCTGTACTATCACTCTGACCCTAGGAGAGATTCGTAACATTAATACCGTGCCAGAAAATCTTTTTGTTTAAACTGGTGGAATTCTTTTGTTGGCTTGTTTTGGTTCATACCCAGTGGTTCTCGGGGCTTACGCCTGCTCAGGGATCACTGACCACGCTCAGGGGATCCTTTGTGGTAGTGGGGATCGAACCTGGGTCAGGTGTGTACAAGGCAAGCACTTTAATCCCTGTGTGCTCTCAGGCCTCCTGGGAAACTTTTTAGCTAGTAGAAACCCTGCTACATGCCGTGGCTAGGTTCAGGGTTTAGGGCCTAGTTCGTACCTACTTGCACGATCTGATCAGCTGTGTGGCGGGGACGAAGTCACATCTCGAGCTGAGTGAGGCTGTGTCTCTTCCCTGGGAGAGCCACTGATCCTGTCCCCTGCTGTCCTTCTCCAGGTCCGTGAGACGCAGGCTCTGATCTTGGCCCCGACGAGAGAGTTGGCCGTGCAGATCCAGAAGGTGAGGGCACAGAGCTGTGCCGCTGTATCTAGGGGACCCTGTCCGCAGGCTGCTGGGCCCAGGGCTTTCTTCTGATAACTTCTGGATTGTGTTGTTACCTGGAGTGTGCCTGTATTTCTCATGGTTAGGACAGTCTTGTGACTGTCGCGTTTCCAACAGAAGTCTGCTTAGCCATTGCAGTTGTGGCTCTCTTACGGTGTTTTGGAAATGCTTTGTACAGACATGCACGTACCCATATATGCACATACAGATGTGTGGATTTATTTCCTGGTTGGGACGGGGCAGCTGGCAGTGCTCAGGGATATGCCTGGCTCTGTGCTCGGGGGACTCTACGCTGCGGGGAGCCTGTCAAGCTGCCTGCCGGGCTAGGCAGAGCTTCACTGGGGCGATGCTCTATGGGTGGATAGGGTCGCAGAACTTTCTGTTCTGTGTTTTCCTGTAGTCAGCCTCTTTTGCTTTTGTAATGAAATACCCACAAGACTGTTGGTGCTGAGGAGCAGGAGAGAGGGTGTAATTGTAGCACCATCCTGACAGGGCAGCATGCCTGCCCTTTTTTGGCACACTAAGGTGACGCTCAGGCGTTATTCCTGGGTCTGCACTTGGATTATCCCTGGCGGTGCTTGAGGGACCCTATGGGATGCTGGGGATCGAACCCGGGTCAGCCGTGTGCCAGGCCAGCACCCTCCCTGCTGTCCTATCGCTCTGGCTTGGCATGCTTGCTTCTGACTGGCCAGGGCACTAGGCCAGGCCAGCCACTCACGCTGTATCTGGCTTCAGGGCTTGCTCGCTCTGGGCGACTACATGAATGTCCAGTGCCATGCCTGCATCGGGGGCACCAACGTGGGAGAGGACATCCGGAAGCTGGACTACGGGCAGCACGTGGTGGCCGGCACACCAGGACGGGTCTTTGGTAGGTGCTAGGTCCCGAACCCGGGTGTGAGTGCTTCTGGAACATGCTTGAATGGTGCAGGACAGGTGCTGGGTGAGGTTCGGGTGGCTGGGGCTCTGAGGTGATCCCAGACTGGCCCTTTGAGCATGGCCTGAAGACTAACTTCTCACGAGCCTGGTTTGATAGATATGATTCGGCGCAGAAGCCTGAGGACACGCGCGATCAAGATGCTGGTGTTGGACGAAGCTGACGAAATGTTGAATAAAGGTAGAGTAACCAATTTCCTGCCAACTGTTCTGGAAACATTGCAGATCTGAGTTAGTGCCCTGGTAAGGTACTTGCTCTGCATGTGGCACCCACTGTGTACTGTCTCCTGAGCACCTTCTGGGTGATCACTGAGCACAGAGCCAAGAGTCAGCGCTAAACACTGCTGGGTGTGGCCTCGAAATAAAACCACAGATGCGGAGCTAACAAGTGTCCTGGGTGTAAAGTGGGATTAGGTGGAGGAAGAGCAGCCGGGCCCCAGGTGTCATAAGTGAGTCTCTGATTTCCGTTGTTCTGTGCTTGCGGCCAGTAAAGCTGGTGACAGCCAGGCGAGAGCAGGTCAGCTGGACCCGACAGTGGCATTTTCGAGTGTGGCTCAGTGTCACCATGGCCGGGCCGCAGTGTTGAGGAAGTGTGCGTGTTTGGCTGCAGGCTCACGGGGGCCACACTGTGGGCAGAGGCTGATGAAATCCAGAGTCCGGCTGCACCCCACGAGGCCACTGCATGCTTCAGCATTCGTAGACTTATGTAGACAAATCAGTTTCTGAGATTTCTAATAATTTGATGTACAGATCAGCCATCCCGGCCTCTGCATGCGGGGCTGCGGGACGTGAGCGTGGGCTCTGCACAGGGGGATGCTTGTGAGCATGGAGATGTGTATGAGCACCATCTCTGCACATGGGGATGCACGTGAGCGCTGGCTCTACATGCGGGGATGTGTGTGCTCTGGCAGGCTGTGGTGGGCTGTACGATAACACTGCTTTGTCCTTCCTCAGGTAGCTTAGGTTTATCAAGTCACACCCATCTAAGGACACTAAACTTGTATTGTAAGCAATGTCCTTTCTCTGGACACAGGAAGACAGTTAATATTATGCTTTGTAACTTGGGAGTTGACTCCGAATAATATTTACTCCTGGGCATCTGCTTTCTTGACTCAGTTGCCCTTAGTTCCTAGCACCCCAAAAGCAGTGTCCCGACCATGGACTAAATGGACCCAGGGCAAGCTGTGAGCTACCCTGGCATCGAAATGGGCCAGGCCAAAGCGCCACGATACTCAACTATAAGTTGAGGGCATGATCATGGACAAATGCTGTCATGATCCAAAGTAAGTAATGACAAGACTAGGACCCTGTTAGGGCTAGAATAACCTGGCCTGAGGACTGCGGAATGTATAATGAGATGTTTATATCTCTTACTGTGCTCACACAGAATGACATTGCTAGAAATATTAGAAGTAGATTTACTACAACTATTTAAGTAGATTACTAACTGAGGAAAGAACACACCCTTATTAGGATCCCACCCGTGAGCAGATCTCCTAGTAATCTGGAGTAATCTCTGTAGATGAGATTTTATCCTTGAGTTAATCTCCTGGAGGAGTGGTTTTACCTCTCATTATTAATTTGTCAATATTCAACCCACCTTTATGTCACCACCTCATGTGATTGCTATATAAACTAAGACTATAGGCTCGGGGAGGAGAGTCAGAAGCAAGAGGGCTCAGGCTCCAGAGATCCAGAGCAAGAGCCAGAAGGAGAAAGGTTCCAGATTGGGGCCCAGGAGAGAAGGAGGCAGAGAGAGAAGGAGTGAATAAGATTGGAATAAACTACTATTGATATCGACCAGCCTGGCCCTCGTCTACCCTTGGCCAACAGCCGTCCTGATCCAGGCCACACACAGCAGCTCAAGAGCACCGAACGCGGGTGGTGAGACAGTGCCGTCCAGTGAGCCCGCGAACGCACAACCTTTGACGTGCTAAGATTTTACAGCAGGCCGTGTGGTCTTGGCCAGGTCTCAGCCTCCCCCTGGTTTCCCAAGGCTGCAGGTCCTGTTGTGCTTTCCGAGAGTCCCCACCACAAGAGGAACAGGGCTGATGCAGCCTCAGTGGAAACTGTTCTATGGGACTGGGCTGGCATCTCGGCTTGTTGCTCTTCCTTACATGTGTGCTTTTCCTGGGGCCAGCCTGGTAGTGGCTGCTTTGGCCTTTTGGCCAGATCTTGTTCCCTGCCCAGCAGCCCGGTGCCCTGAGCAGCACCTCTGACTGGGAGCCCCTAGCCAGGTCAGCAGTGATGTCCCTCCTCGTCACAGACCCTGCTGTTCTTTTTTTTTGGGGGGGGGTAGCACCTGGTGATGCTCAGGGGTTCCTCCTGGCTCTGCACTCAGGAATCACTCCTGGCACTGACCATATGGGATGGTGATGCCAGGGATTGAACCCCAGGGAGCCACGTGCAAGACAGACGCCCTCCCTGCTGTAATACTGCTCCAGTCTTCTGGCTGTTTTTATTTTAATTTTTTAATTTTTCACGTTACTGGTGCCCGCTCGAGCAAATCGATGAACAAGAGGAGGACAGTGCTACAGTGCTCATAAAGTTGTTCACACTAATTGTCGCCATTCAGTATTTCAACACCAATCCCATCATCATTGCACCTTCCCGCCACCACCCCAGCCTGTCTCTTCCATGCTAAACTGTTTTGTATTGCTTGTCATGAATAAGAGTATGAGGTGTCACATGGCTGTGAAAGTGGCCACGCGCTCCTGGAATTCTAAAATTTTTATATATTTGTCCAGAGGCATTTCTGCGGCATGCTACTTTCTTCCAAGATTTATTTGTGAGGTTCTGAATTGTGGCCATTAATGCATTTAAATGGCGCCCAGCGACGGTTCTTGGTGTGACTGCCAAGGAAAACCTGGGGTTTTCAGTCACTGGTCCCGCATACCGGGGTTTCGGTGGGTTCATTCTCATGCGTGGGGGGCTCGGATTGATTGAGCCTGTGAAGGTTGGCTGTGAGCATGGTGGTGATTGGGTTCTGGAGGTTTGCGGCTTCTGGGGTTCATTTGGGGCTGGCGGAGGGACGCACCTGCCCCCCTCCGAGGTACCCTGGTGAGATTTGCCTGTTGCAGAGGGGGGAGACATGTCTGTGGCTTGCTGCTCTCCAAGATTCATTTGTGAGTCTTTGATGCACTTAATTAAGGTCTGCTTTTTATCTCTTTCGAGATGTATTTATGGGGCTCTAAGGCAATGCTGCTTGTATAGCTGAGCCAGAGGTGGTTTGTGCGTGTGGTTCCCACTTATTTAACTTTTGGCCATTTAGTTTCTCGGGAAACTAGATCCCAAGTTGTTGGGGTCTGTCCACAGGCACAGCAGCAATTTGGGGGTATCAGGAAGCCTGAAGGCACCATTAGGTTGCTGGTGCACTCGCTCTGCAGGTACAGGTTGGCCTTCTGCTCTTTGAGGGTTTTCCATCCCTCTGAGCACCTGCTGTCACATGCACCACATGTGCCTCGCCTTTGCCCTCTTGGTCAGGCTTTACCTGTTGGAGAGATTCCCACTGGTTCTCTACCCAGAAGGGAGCGAGGGCCAGGACTAGTGGGGCTGATGCTTGGCGCTTCCGCCCCTGAATGCCATCTGGCACATGGGCGTAGGACCTGGAAGGGCGCTGTGCGCCTTGGGAAGTTGACTGTGTCCTTTGGGCAGCAGAGGGCTGGGGACCAAATGAGGTGGGCAGGCGAAAGGCTCAGCTGAGCCCTGCAGGGCCCGGGCAGGACGAGAAGTTTGGGAACTGCTGAGTGGGACTGCGGGTGGGGCTGGGCAGGGTCTTGGTGCTGGGCTCGGGAAGGGCCTCCCGACACGGTGTCCCCCTCCGCAGGCTTCAAAGAACAGATCTACGACGTGTACCGCTACCTGCCCCCGGCCACGCAGGTGGTGCTCATCAGCGCCACACTGCCCCACGAGATCCTGGAAATGACCAACAAGTTCATGACCGATCCCATCCGCATCTTGGTGAAGCGGTGAGCCCCTCTGCCCACTCTGGGGGCCCCAGGCAGGGGGAAGTGGCTGCTGAGGGGCCGTGTGACTGGGGGCTTTGAGGAGCTTGTGAGGGCCATGGCCTCGGATGGGGTGCATCCTCACGGGTTCTGTCCCCAGTGATGAGCTGACCCTAGAGGGCATCAAGCAGTTCTTCGTGGCAGTGGAGAGAGAGGAGTGGAAGTTCGACACTCTGTGTGACCTCTACGACACGCTCACCATCACGCAGGCCGTCATCTTCTGCAATACCAAGCGGAAGGTGCGTCCCGCCTGTGCGTGCTGTGGGCGGGGGGGAGGCCCGTAGGAAGGCTGGGCACCCTCTGCAGCTCCCAGCCGACGGCGGTGTCTTGGTTCGCAGGTGGATTGGCTGACAGAGAAGATGCGCGAGGCCAACTTCACAGTGTCGTCCATGCACGGAGACATGCCGCAGAAGGAGCGCGAGTCCATCATGAAGGAGTTCCGCTCGGGCGCCAGGTGGGCCACGCCCTGCGCCCTCCTGCTTGCTCCCGAGCGTGGGGTCGTGGTGCCCCCCATCACAGGGCACTCCTGGCCCCCTGGGGTTTCTCTGGTTGCATCTTTGTCTTTGGGGGTCACACCTGGCGGTACTCAGGGATCACTCCTGGTGGGCACAGGGGACCATCTGGGGGTGCCGGGGTTCGAATGTGCGTCAGCCACGTGCGGGCCAGCGTCTCCCCATGGACTGACTGCCTGGCTGTCTGGGCCCAGGCCGCAGCTTTCTGTGCTTTGGGTTAGGGGGGCAGCATAGAGTTGGGTTTTCCATTTTCATATTTTCCTTTTTGGTGTTTGGGCTCCCCACACTGTGCTTGGGTCACTCCTGGCAGTGAGTGGTGCTGGGGTGAAGGGGCCGCACCCTGGCTGCTTATACATTCCCCCGGCCTGTCTCCTTGTTTTCTCACTTGAGGCATTTCTTGTCTGCACCGATGCTGGGTCTTAAAGTCTACGGCACTTGGGAGACACCAAAACAGCAGTACAGCGAGGAGAGTGCCTGCTTTGTACGCAGCCAACCTGGGTTCCGTCTCCAGCACCCCACATGGTCCCCAGGCCCCCCCGGGAGCCATTCCTGAGCACAAAGCCAGAGGGTGTGGTCCCCCCAATCTACAAAGATCTAAGACATTTTCTGCCCTTTCTTGGCCACACCTGGCCATGCTCAGGGCCTTCTAACTCTGAGCCCAGGGATTGCCCGTGGTGGCCGTGGAGCATTGAGCCAGGCCGGCTGCATGCAGAGCAGGCGCCCGCTGTACCAGCTCCCCGGCCCTCACTCATTCTTGCTTTGTGAAAATCTCCGCACCGCCCCGTCTCCCTGAGCTGCAGTGTGTGCCCCCCCACTCCCCTGTGTGTGTCAGAGCCACTCTCTGGGGCTTTCACTGCTGCGCCCCAACTCTTGTTTGTATTTGGGGCCACGCCTGGTGCTGTTTCCAGGGTCACTCCTGGCTCCTGGCAGTGCTTGTGGAACCATACAAGGTGCCGGGTATCAAACCCAGGGCAAATGCCTTTCCTGCTGGACTGTCTCCCTAGCCCCAAACTGCCCCTATCCTTTTTTCTTTAATTTAAAAATTTTATCGATTGGCTTTTGGGATCACACCCAGCGGTGCTCTGGCTTACTGCTCGGAAGTAGCAGAGACCTTGTGCCTGAGGGCTCAGTGCGCCAGATGCCTGTCCACATGCCGCCATCTGCCTCGATCCCAGGACTGCAGAGCCCCTCACCCCCAGCCCTGCCAGGGTGCGCCCCAAAACCCTTACCGAACAGATGGGAATTCAGGTTGGGGTGTGAGTTTGTTTAGGTTTGGGGGGACCCCTTTCAGTGCTCAAGGCTCACTCCTGGGGGCTCAGGGAACCCGGTGGGCTGCGTGTGAGGCCAGTGTGCCCCCTCAATCTCTCAGCCTCGTCACTGACGCCTCGTGTCTGTACTGAACCCCTCGGCCTGTGTGTTTGTGTCTCAGCTATCACTGGCTGGCTGGTGGCACCTACTGGTGTAGGGGGGCTAGAGCTGGGTCCATGTGTTGGCATGTATGAGGGGCGTGGCGGCCATGGGATGACTCGGTGCCTCTCTCGCAGTCGCGTGCTCATCTCTACAGACGTGTGGGCCCGGGGCCTGGACGTCCCCCAGGTGTCCCTCATCATCAACTACGACCTGCCCAACAACCGTGAGCTGTACATCCACAGGTAGGCGCCCCGGCCACCGGCGCCCCGCCCCTCCCGCCCCCCTCTCCCCCTCCAGAGCTGAGGCAATTCTGTTCCCCCAGAATCGGGAGGTCAGGCCGCTACGGCCGCAAGGGTGTGGCCATCAACTTCGTGAAGAACGATGACATTCGTATCCTCAGGGACATTGAGCAGTACTACTCCACCCAGATTGACGAGATGCCCATGAATGGTGAGGCGGGAGCAGCCCCCCCCCCCCCCCCGCCAGCCTCACATGGCCCCCCCTAACCCACTGTCTCCTTGCAGTTGCCGATCTCATCTGAGGGGCCGCTTGCCCTGTGGACCCGGAGGCTGGTTGCTGTCTGCCCTTTGGAAGGCCGCAGGGGTTCCATCGATAATATTTCGGGAGCCCCTGGACATCCCTCTTCCCCATGTGTAAATAATGTGTTGCGCAGTGTCTTTTTTCATTAAACGTCGAAAACTTCCCATGAGCTTCCCATGCCATCGTGGGTGGGTCGTGAGCGTTTGGCTGCTGGCAGGAAGGCTGAGCCCAGGACCATGTTCCAGGGCCGGGCGCCTATGGTACTGGACAGGAGGGCCACTCCCGTGGTTCTGTTGGGTATACAGGTCATGTGGGTCAGCCCCAGGGCCATTGCTCCTCTGCCTACAGCTGGACTCTGCCATCAAGGGTGTTCGCAGACTGGTGCAGAGCCGGAGCCTGGTCAGGACACTTGGCAACAGCCAGCAGAGAGGGACAGCAGGCGGGGCCAGCTTCTATCTGGGGGACTGAGCACTTGCATCCGGAGCGTGAGGTGGGTCACTGTCACACCTGCCACAGAAACCAGGGGCCTTGGCGCATGTGGCCAGTCCGAGGAGAACAGGGCAAGATGTGAACAGATACTCAGAGCCGTGGGGAGTGTGATGAGATGTCAGTCTGGTGGTAGGACCCACAAGAGGCTCGCCGCGCCGACCCCATCCAGTGGAACCATGTCACCTTCTGTGTTTGCCCCAAGTAAGTGGAAAATGGCTATTCAGTGAAGCCTCACGCTTGAATGTGGGGCACGCCCTGCGGGGCCAGGGCGGAGGGGGGCCAGTGTGTGCGTGTCCTCCGGGTTTGGGAGCCACACCCCACAGTGCACAGGGCCTATCCTGGCAGTCCTCGGGGAGCCAGGGGGGAGCTGGGGTGAACCTGGATTGGCTGTGTGCAGACCTTCCAGACCAAGCCTCATGTGTTAGCCAAGAAAGAATTGTGGCTGTCTGCTTGGGACACTGGGAAGGCTGCGGGTCTCCGGGGGGCATGGCAGGCGGGACACACAATGCAAAAGCATGCTGCCACCTCGTGGAGCCAGGCCATGTGTGCGAGCTCCAGGCTGGACCCAGTTCCCAGTGTCCAGAGGGGGGCGGGGCGATGTTCGGGGCACATGGGCAGAGTCAGCAGGCGGGAGCCAGAGGCTGCTGAGGACCCTGGGGACAGAGAAGTCTCGCAAGTGGACACAGACACATCCTCGCCAGATCCTGAGGCCGCAGCCTGGACTGGGATGTTTATTCAAATAGTTCCAAGAAGAAAGTTCCCTGGGTCCTGCCTGGGGCTTGTCCAAGGTCGGGCCCCTGTCCAAAGGCATCTGCTATGGCCACTGGCTCCCTTGTCCTCAGAGTCTGAACCTCGTGGCCTGGGGGGCAGGGACACCCCTGTCCCAGGGGTGGGTGTGGGGGCTGGGCTGTGTGCCAGCCTTGCCCCCACCATCACTTTAACAGCAGGTTGGCTTTGGGGAGGGGCCCCTACCCGGGAGGTAGACAGCAGACCCGAGTGTGCAGGTGGGGGAGGGGCCCCTATCTGGAGGTAGACAGCAGACCCCAGTGTGCAGGGCACCGCGCAGAGCTGAGGCCACGCACCGGGATGCACAGCCAGGCCTCAAGCCCAGCTGATGAGAAACTTCGTCCCCAGGGTCAGGGTTACTGGCACCTGCAGGGTCTGGAAAGGCACCATAGGCACCTGGTGAGTGTCCAGCACAGCAGCCTTTTGCTGGGGGGGACGGCCTCCAGCACCCCCAGGGAATGCGGTGCTACTACCCAGCCCCAGCCCAGCCCCGGGGCGCCGCCTTGCCTGGGTGTCCGGGTTGTAGATGAAGTTGGAGATGGGCACACCATCGGATAGCACCTGTTGAGGGGCCTCAGACACGCCCAGGACCAGGACCTTGTCCAGCTGCAGACCAGCCCCCTCACTGCTCACCTGCACCGGCTTGTTCCCGACCGTGTTCTGGCCACACAGCAGGGCAGGGTGAGGTGGACGCAGGCCCAGTGCCCCCGAGTCAGGACGCTCACCTCCCACTGTCCCTCAGGTCTCACCTTCCTGGCCCAGAAGCCCACCAGTGTGTAAGCCCCGGTCTCTAGCACCCCCAGGCTGTCACCATCGTCCCAGTAGAGCTCCCCTTGGGCGTCCCCACTCGCGGTGAGGGCCACGACCAGGGCCATGGGCTGCTGACGCGTCTCTGTCGTGGTGAGGCCGGGACCCTGCAGAGGGCGATGGACATGTCACTGCCTGGCCCGCAGGATAGCCTCAGTGGGTACCCACACAGCACCATGGCACCTGGGTGGGGGCCCACCCGCTTTCGGCTCCCCCATCCCTGGCTGGCCCTATTCGGGGGCTCTGCCTGCTATGACAGCGATAGTGGAGCCCTGGATATTTGCAGCTGTTCCAGAAGAGGATGATCTAGGCACCCCGAGGTGGTGCCCCACCCCCAGTTCCTACCTGCAGGGTAATGATATACCCCTCCCGAAGGTGGACATTGATGGTATCCAGGGGTGCTGGCAGAGTCACCCACTGTCCCTGGCTAATGATGGCAGACACACGGACTGCTGTAGGCTGAGAAGGGAGGCTGCCGATGGACTCCAGAGGCACCTGGATGGACATGGCACATGTGGGGGTATATGAAACCCTGCCCCACCCTGTCTCGGGCTGAGCTGCCCATGGCTGGGCACTGCCTGCAGGGACGCCTCACATTCGGGGGGCTCACTGCAGGGATGTGCCATCCACCTAGCGGGGACTCACCGTGTGCAGCTCGTACCACTTGCCGGTTGGGAAGTAACCAGTGACCTCCGTCCTCCCGGGGTCCAGCACGGGGGTGACAAGCAGGGCCTCCCCCCACATGAGCTGGCGGTCCACAGTCCAGGTGTGGGGATCCTGGGGGAACCTGCACCAGGAAAGTCTCTAGGGTCAGGGGGCTCCAAGGGCCCCAGCAAAGCAGCCCAGACTGGCCAGGGTAAGGACGCCATGCTGTCAGGGTGGGTGTGGTTGATGATGCTTCCCCAGGAGCGGCCGGAGCGGCCCAAGCAGAGCACCCCCCTGGTCATGTTCAGAGAGGAGGATCTTCTCCCCGAAACTAAACCTCGGGCTCGGCTCTGCAGCCACATACTCCGGGAGCCTCTAGGCTTCCTGGGGGCCCCTGAGACTTAGAACTCTGCAGGGTTCCCAGAGCTGCTCCAGCCGCACTCCAACAGCTGGAGAACAGGTGTAGCCTGGAGCGTGTCACCCCTCATTCCAGGGAGAAGTGCTATTTCCTGGCACAGTGTATAGAAGGGGTGTGGCCTGAGCAGCGGCCCTGTCCCCTCCAGGAAGAGAGGCGGAGTCACTGGGCAGGGAGGGCATAACCTGGGCCCCGCCCCTCACTCACTTCAGGAAAAGGGGCGGGGGTCAATCGAAGGGGCAGTGACCTGAGGGGGGGAAGGGGGGCCAGCCCCTAGCTCCAGGAAGGGGGCGGAGTCACCGCAGGGATGGGCGTGGCCTGGGCCCCGCCTCTCACTAACCCCAGGAAGAGGGGCGGGGTAACTTTGAAGGGGCGTGGCCTAGACAGAAGCCCCGCCCCAGAAGGATGGGCGGGTCCCTTGCGGGAGGGCGTGGTCTGGGCCACGGCCGATCCCTCACTCCAGGAAGAGGGCGGGGTCACTGAGGGGAGGGCGTGACCTGGCCGCGGACCCGCCCCCTCGCTCACTCCAGGAAGAGAGGCCGGGCCACTGTGGCCCCGTCCACGTGCGCGCGGTGGAAGAGCGTGTAGAGGTGGGGCAGCAGTGCATAGCGCAGGTTTAGGGCCTTCCTCATGGCCCGCTGTGCTTCGTCGCTGAACTGGTAGGGCTCCTGCGGCTGGGCAGGGGACGTGGAGCGTGGGCTCGGGACCCCAGCCCCTGTCCCTGGCCCCGCGCTGCCCGCCCCGGGGGTCTTCCGGGCGCCCTACCGAGCTGGTGAGGCTGTTGTGGTTACGCATGAAGGGGTAGAAGGCACCCAGCTGCATCCAGCGCACACACAGCTCCTCGGTCGTGTCGCCTTGGAAGCCACAGATGTCCGCCCCGACCAGGGGCACCCCCAGGAGGTTGAACAGCAGGACACCTGGGAGCAGAGTCAGCCTTGACCTCGGGCTGCATGCCGCCCCCTGCATCCCCCGCAGCTGGTCTGCTGAGACCACTCCCCACACCAAACGGCGATGGCCCCTTTGACCCCCTCAACAATTCAGTGTCCTGGAGGGTCCCTCCCCTCCTCCCAGAGACCACGTGCAGACCTGAGGTCTCCCCATCCAGGCCTCTGGGGGTTTCTCTTGCTCTAGGCACTGTTTGTGGCTGTGAAGCCGTCACAGGCCCAAGCCTGGGCATGTGGCAGGGTGGAGACACAGCATTATGTTGCCAAGTTTTGGAACCCCAGGGAGGCTTCTTGTCCCACCCCTGGGGCTGGGGTGCCCTGCTGGTGATGACACACATGTGGGCCCAGGGCTCAGGACCTGTTCTGTAGGTGGCACCTAAGGTGCCTGCCTGGGGGGGCAGGTGGAAGCCAGATGGCGGAGGAAGTCCAGCCACCGCGCCAGGGAACCGCTGTCCCAGAGCGAGTAAGGACCAACAAGTGTTTCTGGGCTGTGGCAGCTCTTTGCTGTCCGCCCCATGCCCCGCCGGCAGGCAGCCTCAGCCTCGGGTCCAGGGGTGGCTCTGTCCGGGGAGCAGAGCTGTGTGTGCCTGCAGGCGGGAGGGGGCTGCCAGGGAACAGGCCTGGGACGAGGCTTGTGCACCCACCAGGGATAGAGTACGCGAGCTGCTCCCATGTGCTCCACACGTCCCCTGTCCAGTGGCCGGCATAGTGGCCATGGCCAGCAAACGTCGAGCGCGAGATGACGAAGGGGCGCTTCCTCCGAACCTTCACCAGCGCACTGGGAGGGATGGGACACACGGGCAGTGACCAACGACCAATTCCCTGGGCATCAGAGCCCACCTTGGTCAGCAGCTGGCCAGAGCTGGGGCCGCCTAGTCCTGAGCACAGGAGGGCCTGCCCTCTGTATGCAGTCAGGCACGCACGCAGGCAAGCAGGCAGCACACATGCATGCACGAACACAGGCGCTCACACATACATGCACACACCTACACAGATTTGCACCATGCACACTGGTACTCACACATGCACGCACGCAGCTTGTACATGCACCACGCATATACGTACCACGCACGCTCGC